TAGCCTGGGTTTTAGTAATGGGCAGCTGGTGGTCAGGACCCTGCTAGAGAAGATAAGAAGAATGATAAATTGTGTTAGGCAGCAGCAAAATATTTCATAATACTCTTGCTATGGTATCTTGAAAGCCAGAGAATGCACACAGTGCAGTTGGGGTTCTGGGACAAGAGATTTGGAGAAAAAGATATGTGTAGCATGAGTTGTCTGTTATTAGCTACTAGAGGTCCGGTGCATGAATTCATGCACCAATGGGGCCCCTCGGCCTGGCCTGAAGGATCAGGCCGAAAATGGCTCTCTGACATTTCCTGAGGGATCCCAGATTGTGAGAGGATGCAGGCCAGGCTGAGGGACCCCACTGGTGCACAGTTGGGGCTGGGAGGGACTGCAGGAAGGCTCCACGGTGTGTCCAATCCATCTCACTCAGTCTTCTTCTTCTTCTTCTTTTTTTTTTTTTTTAATATATTTTATTGATTTTTTACAGAGAGGAAGGGAGAGATATAGAGAGCTAGAAATGTCGACAAGAGAGAGACATCGACCAGCTGCCTCTTGCACACCCCCTACTGGGGATGTGCCCCCAACTCAGGTACATGCCCTTGACCGGAATCGAACCTGGGACCTTTCAGTCCACAGACCAATGCTCTACCACTGAGCCAAACCGGTTTCGGCCCATCTCACTCAGTCTTGATTGTCCAGCCAGACCCTATCAGTAAGCTAACAGATCTTAAGTAAGCCCTAAACCCAATATTAAACTTTAAGAGCCAACAACATTGTCAAAAGGTTAAGTATAATCTTCTTTGACTGCATGTTCTGCCTTCTGGACTCACTGGGGCTGTAGTCTCACCTCCATGACTCTCCCGGGTAGAAGTCCACTGGTTCTCCAGGGCTTCCCTGGGCATGGCCTATTTAGGGCTGTCTGCAGGGCCCCACCCCTGCAGCAGTCCTCTGCCTGGCCCCTGCCCCTGATATCTATGGGTTCCAAAGCCTGCAGCTCTGCCAGGCATCTTTTGAAATCTAGGAGACAGCCATGCCCCTATGGGTCTAGCATTCTGCACGCAGACAGAGATGGTGGAAGAGTTTGTAAAACCATGAAACTTTATCCTCCAGAGGGGTGACCACAATGACCCCATACTCGGGACCACTAGAACTGAATCTGGGGCAGCCCGGGGGCTCCGTGCTGGAGTGCAGAGAGCAGAGCCAAAGTTCCACCATGCCCAGACAGATCCTCCTTTGAAACCACACTGCCCCTGGGGCTCTGGCACTCCGTGAGGGATGAACAATTTCAAGGATTTCTGAATTGTCTTGGGGGTTATTTTTCTATGTCTTATAATAGCTCCCGCTTCTGTAGAGATGTATGACTAATCTTGCGGAATGGTGTTTTGTGCATTCCTTTCGTGTTTTTCTTTTTACCACACGTTCTCATTCTTTTCAGTATGGATGGTCTGAGAACTTTCCAAATACTTAAGTGCTGCTTCCTTTTTGATTAACAGTTCTGCCTTAATTTATTTTTCTCTTTTGTACATTTTAAATAATGCACATTTTAAAAAAATGAATTCTTACAAATTGTTCTGCAATGCAAATATACAATAGCTTGGGGGAAAAAAAACATTTAAAAAACAAAAGCCTGGGAGGTAGGAGTAAGCTGAAAGAGAGTAAATTTGGCAGGGGAGGGGAGGCATATGTAATACTTTCAACAATAAAGATTGAAAAAGAGAAACCAATGTAAAAAGTCAGGTCAAAACAACTAGAACAGTACAAGTTTTATATGGCTCTGACTTCACAGTTTCCTAATACATCACCAATGTCAGAAATCTGATCCTTCAGCTGGCTCCATTGCTTGGGATTTAAGGAAATGAAATACCTTTTCTTCTTGTTTCATGTCACTTTCTCCATCCATCCAACATTCTCTAATATCAGTTAGGACTTTTCCTTTCAAGTCGTGAACGCTGACAGACCTAACTTTCACAATCTGAAACATTATCTCTACTGTTTAGAAGGTGATAGGCTCTTGGAAACTTCAGTAGACTTTTGCTTCTTATTTTATGACTCACCCAGAGTCAAATCTTTTCCTGTCGCCTTATATTAGGACCGCCTTCTCCCCCACCCCCTTCTGGCAGCCACCACGATGCTGATTGTGTTCATGAGTTTTAGTTTTGTTTCCCACATATGAGTGAAATCATAGCTTTTCAATTTTCGCTTTTTTTCTGACTGGCTTATTTCACTTAGCATAGTGTTCTTAAGGTCCATCCATGTTGTTGCAAATGGCACTATTCCATCCTTTCTTACAGCTGTGTAGTATTCCATTGTGTATGTGTGCCACATCTTCTTTACCCAGTCCTCTTTTGTGGGACACTTTGGTTGTTTCCATGTCTTGGCCACAGTGTGTAATGTTGAAACAGGGATGTTCGCTCTCTCACTGCCCCACGCTCACCCTGCTGGGCTGCCTGCTCCCTCTGGCCCCACAGCTCTCTGCTCCCCCACTCTGCCAAGGGAAGTGCCTGCTCCTGCCAACTTTCTTCCTTCTCCATGCAGGCCGAGCCCCGAGCTGTTCTCTCCTCTCATTTTCCCATTTAATCCCGGTTGCCCACCTTTACGTGTTTCAGTGTGCAGGTCTCTCGGGTATGCATCTGTGTTGAGCAGGGATTTCTTTGTTCCATTATAGATGGTTAACTTGTTGAAATGTCCAGGAGAAAAGAAAAGTTGAGCCCTTATGCTGCCATTCCTCATACATCACCGGTTTTTTGCCTTCTTTATAGATTTTCCTGAAGAAACTCGCTTTTTCCTCTCTAACTTTTTGTCAACTTCACTGTCAGAATCACTGCCAGAAGAGCTTGAAGAAACAAGTTCCTTTGATTTGGGCAGTGGCTCCGCTTTTGCAACTGACCATCCCTGGGCTCGCTCTCTTCTGACTTCTTCCTCTCAGGAGGAATCAATGCCATTCCTTTCCACATTTTGCTTAGAAATGGTCTTCGGCTACATGTCCAATTTCATCACAACTTCTACAGTAGACATTAGAAGATGATCATAATTCAGCCAAGCTCTTTTCCACTTTATAACAAGCACTGTCTAACCCCATTGTCCAATAATATTTTCCTCATTTCCATCTGAGACTTCATTAGAATGGCCTTTATGTTCTGTATTTCTACCATTTTCTATTTAAGATGATAGGTATTCTTTTAAGAAGATCTAAACTCTCTCTATAGCTCTTGCTTTTCTTTCTGGGCTCTCACCAGAATTGCTCTCAACAGTCCATTTACAGGCAATAACCTTTTTCTAGTATGTACCTCAAAACTCCCTGTTACCCAGTTCCAAAGCCACTTTCACATTTGTAAGTATTTCAGGGAGCTCTCTGCAACCTCATTTATAGGGGTACTAATTCCATTCATGAATTCTTCACTCTAATGACCTAATTGCCTTCCAAATATCCCATCTCTTAATGCCATCATATTGTAGATTCAATATTAACATGAGAATTTTGGGGGAACACGAATATTCAGTGTATAGGAACCTGCAAAGCATATTACAGACCTGAGGATTAGGACAGGACATTAACATCCTTTTGGCAGTCATTATTCAGCCCACTATAATTGTCTTTCCAAAATTCTAAAAGTATAGTATTAGGGAAACTGTTTAGTATGGGATATCAATATCTAATTTTTCATAAATAATTCCAAGCTGGTTCATATTATTTTCCCTAATTTGCCCATTATAAAAACAACTTTAGTTAGTGTGACCCTTATTATAATTAACATTTTCAGAGTCCTTTAACTACATCTATAATTTACATCTAAAAATAGGTTTTGTGTTACTGACATTTTGTGGACCAGGCACTATTGATACCTCTCTTGTCTAGTTGTCAAAAGTTAATCAGTCAGTAGGATTTAAAAGATGGTCCACTTAAAAGAAACAAACAACCTTCGAGGACTAGATTCCAATTTTAATTCAGTTATGTGTTGGAAAAAGAAAATATTTGGTTCAGCTTAATTTCTGTTATAAAATTGGGTGAGTTGTCACCTAAACTTAAAACATTGTACATTAATTTGGCATTCCTATATCCTTTTATATAATAAAGAGGAAGCAGACAAGGGAGCATATTAATTCTTTTAGGTGAAAACGTGCCATTTTACTCAGTTAGTCTCTCATTGACTTGGCTACTAGAACGCAGTCCAACCTAATCTGACCTGGCAGCTGGTTGGCTTTCACTCACCACTTCAAGTCAGCTGACCCTGGATGCAAAGCAGGCAAAAGGTTATGTAATAGGAAGAGTTGACTTTTTCTTAGTGTTAATCTAAGCAAGGGAATGTTTGGGCCAAACCAAAAAAACTCTTAAATACTAGCTGCTACACATTCATCACCAGATTTAAGATGAAATAAAGGTATTTAATGTATTAGGGAGGGTTAGCAGGTTCATCTGTAGCCCAGACTTGATTAGAAGTATGAATTCTAAAACAGAGGACTCCTAAAATACTTTTCTCATGACCCTGTCTGTCTCATTGTAAGACATGTGTATTATTGATAGTATGTCTAATACTTTTAAACTTTCTACTTATTTTCATTGTCTTTGTGTATTTTCTTTAACGAATTACACTAAATGAATGCCAAAAAGTTTCCTTCTCATACTGGTGGATATATAATCTGTATTGTTGCTTATAGTTTTAAAAACTAAATCTTTATTTTATATTTTTGTTCATGCACATTTTGTTCATACTTTAGTAGTCCTTTTAATGTATTGGCAAAGAAATATAAACCTAGATATATGCAAGATGAGACAAAATGGTTTACAGTTATATGGAAAACAATACAAAATTAATAAATAATAATACATAAATAAACTTTGTGTTTTGCATACTCACAACTATAAATCTATTTTTGCCCAATCGTGTATATTCAGTTTTGCTCATTATTAAACCTTGGTCACAATGTACTGGAACGAGTGATAGCTAGTGGCTCAAATGAGGCTTGTAGAACTCAATTATACATGTAACCTGTGTTTTCTATTTCTTTAGATAATCCGGAGTCTGTTCTACCTCGCTTCCTCTCTATTGCCTTCAAATACCACACTTTGAGGAATAGTGACTGGATTTACCACGTCCACGTATAAACCAAAGAAGCCTGTTCAAGTGGGAATCTGTCAACAGGTAAAGCTATACTCTGTTTTCTTGATTATGCCCACAAATAAAAGCCATAAATTGTATAGAATATTATAGAATTGTGCATGGGAAAATAAATGAGGCCAATGCATGTGTATGATTTGGACCTTGACTATTAGTCATCGAAAGAATTGTTAATATGAACAGGTGACAAACTTGAAAGTATAATTTTTCAAGGGTTAATTGGTCTTGGGTTTACTTCACAATGATTCAGTTAAGGTATCATCAGATTTTAATTTATATGGAAGAAACAAAACAGATAGACGATAAGGAAGTGTATATAAATAGTGACTTGTAATTTGTAGTATGTGGTTACAATTTAAATTAAGGAAATATCCTGGGGGGGGGGGGAACAACTACAAGATCATATACTAAGATAAACTGCTAAATTGTGCAAAGAGAAGAAGAAAAAAAAAATACAGCTCTCAACCATATAATGCTTTCACTTTTTCTTTTTTTAAATATATTTTTAATGATTTCAGAGAGGAAGAGAGAGGGAAAGAGAGGTAGAAACATCAATGATGAGAAAGAATTATTGATTGGATGCCTTATGTTCACTCCTCACTGGAAATCTAGCTGGCAACGCAGGCATATGCTCTGACCAGGAATTAAACTGTGACTTTGGGGTTTCTGCAATGAGTTCACTTCTTCTATGAGCATAGATATTTATCTGTAAAATGGAAATCTCAACATCAACCTAGCTCATTAGTAAATTTTAATATTAATATTTATAACCTAATTGAATGTTAGTAAATTTTAGTATTATTCACTTGATATGATTATCTAAAAATATAGAATTAAAATTAGTTAGAAATGTTATGACTTTTGAAATGACTGAAAAATAAATCATCCAGTTGTATTTTTAAGGGTTTACTATAGCAGATGTAATAAAAGCTACAAGAGTTTAAACTCATGAATTAATAATGAAAGAATTTTTTTATCTTTATACAAGCAGGAAAATTGCAGAATAAGGACCTTAAATTTCATAATTATTTTTACACTCTGGTAATAAAACAAAGTAGATGTCCACATAAATGCCCTTTGGTATTTTCTTTAGTGTTCCTCTATGTTTTAAAAAAAGATATTTTCAGGCAATAAGAAATTTAACTACTTTAAAATATAGTAACAAACTTCACTAATATGTAAATTCAGATTCTTCAGACAACTTTCAAAGGCTGATTTAACACTCATATACAATGTCTCTTTTTCTCTTTCATTCTTAAGTATTTATACTTTTAAAAATGCATTATATCCAGTGCTCCTGTGCTGTAAACCAAAATTCAAATTAAATATATAGATGATTTTGGTTATTGCCAAGAAAGCAAACATTATTACAAAAGCAGACTGTAAATATACAGAAGACATTCAAATCTTTTCATGTCATCAGCGTGTATCAATTAATAGAACAGGGCAAATAAACTGTGACCAAATACTGGGAGTCCTAATCAGACCAATTACATAAGAAAAAAAATATCAAAGGCATCCAAATCGGAGTGGAAGAAGTGAAATTGTCTCTGTTTACAGATGACATGACCTTATTCTATAGGAACCTGAAGATTTTGCCAAAAACTATTGGAACTAATCAGTGAATTTAGTATTAAAGTTCCATAATCCAAACAAACATTGGTATTAGGGAACAAAGTTGTTTGTAACTTAGTATCAATTGTTTGAAATGTGTATGATCATTGTTTCCACAGGAGAGTGGGTTGTTCTAGACTAGGGGTGTCGAACTCAATCAGAGAAGGGGCCAAAATCTAAAATCCAGCCTAAATCCCGGGCCGAATGGTTTACTGAACAGTCATAAACTGTCATTGTGATGGAACGCAGCGGAGTGCAGTGATGACAGTGCGGTGCGGGCCACATTGCAAGGCCTGGCGGGACGGATTTGGCCCGCGGGCCTTGTGTTTGACATGTGTGTTCTAGACCATAAAGCAAACAGTTATGTTCCCCAGCATGTCCAAAAAGACAGTACCCGTCTTTTAACAAACAATAAAGTACTATTCATTTGACTAAGAAAATATTGCTACAGAAAATATATAAAACGTTTCATTCACAATTTTTTCTAAACCTATAAGATTAGAAATTATATGGTTGCAATTTCAACATGACCTAAGTTAATTTTAATGCAATTTCAACTTAGAAATGCGTTAAAATTAACTTAGATCAATAGAACCGTACAATTTGTAATCTTTCTAGAAGCCCAGTGCATGAAATTCATGCACAGGCAGTTCTCTCAGCCCCTTCCAATCGGACTTCCCTCTTGCAATCTGGGACTGCTGGCTCCTAACCATTCACCTGCCTGCCTGCCTGCCTGCCTGCCTGCCTGCCTGCCTGATCACCCCTAACTTCTCTGTCTGCCTGCCTGATCGCCCCTGCCCCTGCCCCCGCCCCTGCCCCTGCCCCTGCCCCTGCCCCTGCCCCTGCCTCTGCCTCTGCCTCTGCCTCTGCCTCTGCCTCTGCCTCTGCCTCTGCCTGCCTGATCACCTCTAACTTCTCTGTCTGCTTGCCTGATCGCCCCTGCCTCTGCCTCTGCCTGCCTGCCTGATCACCCCTAACTGCTCCCCTGCATGGCCATATCTTGCCCCTAACTGTCCTCTCTGCCTCGGCCCCCACCACCATGGTTTTGTCCAGAAGGAAGTGGGAAGTGTGGAAGCTGGCATATTACCCTTTTAGCAATATAGATAGATTATATAGGATATGGTTGCTTAAATGGGGGGGTGGGGAAGCTTTTTCAGCAGGAGAAGATACTATTGGCAGACAAAAACACATAATCCCTATATATGAGCTGATAGCCAGTCATATGCACTATACTACCAAACTGGTCATTAAAAAAATTGAACTGCTTTCTTACACCTTACACCAAAAGGCTGTTGTTGCCCTTAAGACACCTCCTCAGCCCCCATCCTAGGCTTTGCCTTTGCAGTTCACCAAGAGTAGGTTCTGATTGGTCGGTCTCTATGCTAGCCCTCATCAAAAGATCGGCCTTTCAGGCAGCCATTGGCTCCTCGCACTTCACCCAGATTTGGTTCAGATCGGTCTGTTTCTATGCCAGTCAGCATAAAAAGCTCCCCTTCTTAGGCAGCCTTTGGCTCTTCTGAAAAATCCAGAAGGCCACACTGACAGCTGTTTCTCTCTTTGGGTCTATCTCTGGGCCTGATCCACAGCCTTCACTGGGGCCGCTGATCAGACCCCGCCTCTCTCCCCGGGCCTCTCTCTGGGCCTGATCTGCAGCCACGGTGGCAGTGGTGATGCCATTAGACCTCTGGCCTGGCCCCGGGCTAGAGGATAATGGCCTAGCTTTCCACCCTTGTCCTGGGCACCCCACTGCCTCCATGTCCCCGCCCCCTCCCGCCTCCAGCCTGCTGTGATAGGAGCCTGTGGGCTGTGGGAGAGGGACCGAAAGGTGCTCCATGCACTTACAGGTGACTGGTCATCTCTCTGGTTGTTTAGATCGTGACAGCTCTAGGCTATTATTAGTATAGATAGGTTTAGAAAACAGATCTATGTTGAAATGTTTTTAAGTAACTTTAGGTGTTTTTTTTTTGTGTTTTTTTTTAATAAATGGTTATATAAAAACCTCAAAACATTTTGGATTAAATTTCTTTTTCAGTTTTAAGTGATGCTAGCTCAATTTTTTTTTATACTTAGAAATCAGATTGAGATTGCTTTTATTTTATTTTTTTTGGTTGGTACTTCAGTAACGATCTGAAATGTTAACTTCTCTTCAAGTAATGTTTGCTTTCATAAACAAATTAAATGCTTTCAAGTCGTAGCACACAGCAGTCAAAGTTACATACCTCATTTCATTTTTCAAGTACCTTTTCTGAAAAATTTCTGAGTACAAGGATAATAATATTCATGAAAAATTATATAGCTGTAGCTGTAACTGGAAAATACTATTTTAATGTGATCAAGAGTGAAATGTAAAAATTAACATAGGGTTTAAACCTGTATTTCATTATTTGAATACAGGTTACCCAACTTTCAAAGAGAAGAGCAGAAATGCCACCATCTGCAGGTGACCCACCAAACCCACCTCCTGATGGAGGATGGGGTTGGGTAGTGGTTGCAGCGTCTTTTATCTCCATCGGATTTTCATATGCATTCCCCAAAGCCATCACAGTATTCTTCAAAGAAATTCAGCAAATATTCAGCACTAGCTACAGTGAAATAGCATGGATATCTTCCATTATGCTGGCGGTGATGTATGGAGGAGGTAAGGTTCTTTTGAATAAATATAATTTTGAATTAAGAAAACAATTTGTCTACCCTACAATGTGGTACATGTAGCATCTTGATATATTAGAGCCCTTTTTACATATGAACCACTTAAAATCAACTAAATTGGTAATCAGAAGGGAATTTTAAATTTTATTGCTTCAATATCATAAACTATTTACATCATTTTAAGTCTTACTAGAATATTTGTTTGGATAAGGATTTCTTTGTACAAACTAAGATTTACTAAATCATAGACCTTCTAAGGGTCCATTTAATTTGGAATAAAGTCTATATTCTCCAGTGTTTCTATCATCTCTTACGATTGCTACAGTTAGTAGAAATGTTTTCTCCTGAAAGAAAGAAACTCAAGTTGTTGACAGTTGATAAGCCAAAGAAGTCCTTCACCTTAAGCTGTGAAAATGGAGTGTAATTATGTACCTTTGGACCCATTCAGGTTTGCATGATAGAAATAATTCTTTATCCGTGTAGTACTCATTAAATATGACACCTTAAAATTTAAATCGTTGCCTGACAATTATCTTGTTACATTTCATATTCAAATGAGGGTATTCATGAGGGATAATGAATAAATCAAAGTACCATGTCACTTCTGAGTGTTAAAAATTATGTATGTATAGATAGAAATGAATTGGTGCTTTTGTATGCCAACTATCTTCTTTAAATCAATTTCAGCAGCAGACCAGACTGTCTTATAGATGTTTTTAAAATAATTTCTTAAAATAATTTCTTAAAATATTTAGATTTGAGTTTTCATTTTTTAATGGTATATGTGACTTTAAGAGACAGGTAAAAAATCAGAATACACTGCTTAAAGTACTCATACAAATCATCTAGTGCAATTTGTTACTTTCAAGGTGAGGATAATGTGGCTCATAGTGATTGAACTATATCATTAGTAAAAATATCCAATATTTATTAGTATTAAATTTTAGCTAAGACCTCTCTAAATGTTTGCCGTGTGTCACCTCTAATCTTCTTAATAATCTATACAATAAGTATGAACTTCTCTCCATTCTGTAGCTAAGGATATAGAGAGAAAACAAAAAAAGTCTTTCCAACTCAAACAGCTCATTAGTGGCAGATAGAAATTGAGACCCCAAACATTTCATCACTGTGCTATTCTGCCTTTCTCATGTCTCCCTCTTTGCCTGAAGAAAATGACAGACCTAATTCAGGCCTTTGCCCAACCAAAGTCATTTGTTTAGTGATATAATAATTATTATTTAGTATATTGTCTGTTGCACACTAAGGTAAAATTTTTATCCCCGAGTAATCCTGTGTGTGTGTGTGTGTGTGTGTGTTCCACTTTTCTGTATGTTAGCAATTTTACATTAATTCAGTATATGTTTCCCATATCCTTTTGGTTATGTTAAATTGATGCATTTTTCCCCCAGTAGCAATAGGTATCTTTAAAAATGCTATTTGGCTATGTCATTGAAAAATTCTGCTTCTAAAACACTTTCTGAGTTTCTCCTTTGGAAGTTGCTTTAAGGCTTATGACTGCTATTTCTGATGACTGTAGAAGTAGTAGATACTGTGCTTCAGGTTTTCTTTCTCTATCCTAGGGGTCAGGGTTCTTTAATAATGATTTGCTAAAGCAACACACAGTCATCTTGTCCCGAGCTCCACAATGTGCTAATGTTAAATACATTAAATACAACTGAGACAGATTCCTTTAGTGAATTAACATTTCTATTGAATTTAGAATTCTGATCCTTTATATTCATAATTTTATGTTGAGAAGGTAGTTGATGAACTCATAAGCAGGAAAAATTTTGTATAACTTTTTAATTAAATCAAGTCTTAATTGACTTTATTAGTTTTAAGCAAACAACCTCTAAGTCTCAGTGCCTTGAGGCAATACTAGTTTATTTTGCTCAAGCAATGCATTCTCAAGCAGTGTTTCATCCAGTGGCTATGCCACCATGTAAGGCTTTGTAGTATTCCTAAATCTGCTCCATCCATCTGGACAGAGGATGAATGCAGACAGCATGGAAGATCAATGGGTTATTTTAGGGGCCAGATCTGGAAGGAAAAAAAAATGTCATTTTTGTACACATTCCACTGGTTGGAACTCTTATACCTCCCTACCTAGAGGCAGGGCCTACGGTTGCTGGGAAATGCAGGCTTCCTGTAGCATCCAGTGAGACTCAGATAGAGCCCGATATCTTAACAATCATCCTCCATTCGGTGGAAGCAGAAAGTGTTTATTTTTTCTTTAATATTTGAAAGATATCTATTTATAGAGAGGCCTTTTAGAATGATGATTATAAAATAAATCCAAAGACCATAAGGTGAAAAGGCATATAATTTACTATAAAGTGTGAATCTCTCTACCAAGTGACTAAAATATCCTATTCAACATAATGCTAATTGCATTAGCTTATCGAACATCTAAGATCTGACACACTCATTAGAGCTTAGCACTTGAGCTATTAATCACCACAGTGGGGTCACTGGGTAAGACGGAGTGTGGTCAGAGGCCTGGCCTATGATGTCAGGGCTGGAGTTTCTTGTAGTAATTAGTTGGCATCTGGGCTTTGGTTGCAAGGTATTATCTTCCCTTCTGATGTCCGTATTAAAAAATGAAGCTAATAATATGTATGTGGGAAGTTTGGGCAGGAATGCAAATGATATTTATCCCTTACTTCATTCTTAGAGTAACGGCATTAAGTTACACAACCCATCTGCTTGTCCATATGGTCTCCTGGACTTCTAACAGATTTCAGCAATAGGTCAAGCAGAGTGGTCACCCCATTAATAAAGCACTAAGTAGAGGCAGAAAATATTAAATTCAAACTTTCCATATTGTTTTACCTTAATCAATAAAGAAATAAAAAAAAATGGAAACAAGGATTTATTTTGTAAACAGTGATTCCACAGGATTACCTTTTAGTGCAATCTTTAGCTTTGTTACTTTATCAAAAGATAATGTGAACATGGTTTAAAGATTTGGGGCTGCCAGTATCTGTGAGGACTGCACGTTGTTTTTCTGAGGATGTGTTTGTTACGGCTCGGAAGACTCCACCATTTTAGAGAGGGTCGTTGGCCCTATCTTCCTGGTAACTTACTCTTCTGTTTTATGTGAGTGGTGTGCACCAGTTGTACTAAAGCAAGGGTGATGGTTTCATGGTGCACTGCTCTACACAGGAGACCAAGCGTTAAACCAGTGTGTTTAATAACTGGAGGTCGAGAAGCAGAACATTTTTAGGCATATGAGGTTGGTGGCCATAATATGCAATGTGTATTTTTCTATTCTTTTTAAAGTCTAAAAGAATGTATTATTTTGCTTTATGCTTTAAATATTTTGCAAAATAAAGGAGACAAAATAAGTTACATAAGGCTGGGTCTTAGCTTCATTGATAAAAAATAAAATACAATAAATTCCATTCCATTTTTGTGTTGGAGATACCAAAGGCTTTCATTTTAGCTTCACAAAAACTAGAGAGAACCAGGTACACACGGACAGTCCTGCAGGCTGGGTTCTTCTTATGCCTGAGCCACAGTAGATTGTTTTTCATCCAGGAACGTAGATATTGCTGAAGTTTTCCTAGGAAGCACAGTACAGTGTGGCAGGAACTATTTATTGTATTATGTTCACCATTCATCCAGGGCACCTGTGTATTTTGCAGCTTCTTTACACGTAGGTTGAGGCCAAGTGACTGGTTCTGACCAATGAATTGTGAGTGGAGGGATATAGTCCCCTGACCCCCAGACACCTGGACAAGGCAGTTCCAGCTGGTGTACATCTTCCCTTTCCCTCTTCCCTACTGCAGCAGACTAATTTCATATGACATGGCTACAAGGGGAAGGTCCTTGGTCCACTTATACTTTGAATAAATAAGAAACATTTTGTATTATGCTTCTGAGGTGTACTATGTAAAACAACCTAGGTTATACTGATCAATACAAACACAAAGGGTTAGATTGTTGTGAAACTACAATATACTAGCAAATTATGTAAATTACGAGAGTCCCAGTGCATGAAATTTGCCCGGTCGAGGGGATGATTTGCATGTTAGCTTTTATTATATAGGATAGGATGAGGGGGACTAGTACAGTCTATGGGATGATCTTACTCACTTAACTTATGTCATGAGAAGGTTTGTAGGTGTGCTACTTCTTCAAATCTCTGTTAAAGAAGAGGAAGTCTTCAGTATCTCAAGAAGTGAAAAAGGAATTATAAGTGGAAATCATAATTGCCAGGTTTTTTTTGGGGGTGGGGGTGGGGGTGGGATTAAAGTGAGAGGCAGGTAAGGCACAGAAATAGGGACCAAATCATGCTCATGCAGCTTTCTATCATTAAAGGTCTCTCTCTCTCTCTCTCTCTCTCTCTCTCTCTCTCTCTCTCTCTCTCTCTCTCTCTCTCTCTCACACAAACTCTCTCTCTCTCTCTCTCTCTCTCTCTCTCTCTCTCTCTCTCTCTCTCGACAGGAGAGGAAGGAGGTAGGGATCAAGGGCAGATTTCAGGAATGCTCAGCCCTGTGAAACTTTTCCAGGAGACACTTTCCCTACAGAGGGCTGACAATCCAGTTCAAATAATATTGAGATAAAACTAAATGTTATTATATCATTACATATTTTATGCACTTGTGTTTTAGTTGCAAATGACGAAATCCCGATTCAAAGCCCCTATGATCCAATGAGAAAGGTTCCTACGTACACATCAAGGTTATATGAGGTCATGAGTAGGGTCCTATCCATCAGAATTGATAGCCTTATAAGACAAGGGAGAGAGAGAGAAAGAGAAAGAGAGAGTGAGAAAGATCTCTTTCTCTCTGTGCCACACACCAAAGAAGCGCCAAATGAAGACAGCAGGAAGGCAGCTAGTTTGCAAGGCAGGAAGAGTGCTATCACCAGAAATCAAATTTTCTGGCACCTCAATCTTGGACTTCCAGCCTCGATAACTGTGAGAAATAAATTTCAGTTGTTTAAGACATTCAGTCTGTTATATTTTGTTATAGTAGCACAAGC